GGGGCCGGGACGGTGGCCTTCCTCAGCCGGACCGCTAGACTGGTGAGGCACGGGGCTGAAGTCGGCGTGACGGGGAGGACGAGAAAGGCTTCTTCACGCGGCGAAGTTCTGTTGGTTGACACCAGAATGCTGCTTGCGAGAAAAATTTCAGATGAATCACGCAGAGCGCGTGATTTGTCGAAATGGAATCTAATGTACAACATACGCGTCTGATTCGGCTGCTGGGGCAGCACAGGGTTGGGGTGGTACAGCTGTGCTGTTTGAAGCCAGGCTGCCTGCGGCAACGAGCAGGGTGTTTTTGCGGGCATGAGCTTGGGTCCCGTTTACCGGTCCTTCATCCAGTTGAGCACACACCGAAGTTGTATGCATTGTCCCGCTCGTTGAACATTGCCCGTAGGCAAATAGAATTCGCTTGCCTTGGAAAAGGGATCTCCTGGAGGTGCGAATGCTTTTCGACGAAGGTCTCTACGCGTGTCACTTGCCGTAGAGAGTGGTGACTCGACGCGAGACTACCCTGTGGAGCCCCACTGGTCCTCTCTCTTTGTTCTACCCCCACCTCCTCTCAGAGAAGCGAGTCTTGTGTCTAGGCTTGCTCATCACGGTAGCCGCTCCCTTCTTCTGGAGAGCATTCGTTCTCCACTAGTCGGGCGTAGAAGTCAAACAACGTGTACCCCCCCCCCCTTCACTGGTCTTTAGAGAGACAGATTGTGCTACAATGAAATACGCCCTTGTGATGGACACTGGAGGCGAGCCACGATAAAGGGTACCAACGCGCGGTCAACGCTTGCTGACGCCCAACCTCACGCTTTTACCTCACGCGCTTTTTGCAGCGGAGAGTGAACGCGGTCGTGGAGATGGCGTTCGTGCTCTACCGGTGCCTTCTGCCGGCACCTATCTGGCTGGAGTTTTACGGCAAGGACAGCGACTACCTCGCGGGGATTTATCTCTTGCTCAAGGTGATGTGATGATGCAAACCTACCCCCCCCCCCCCCCCCCCCCCCCCCCCCCCCCCCCCCCCCCCCCCCCCCCCNCCCCCCCCGCGTTCTCTACTTGCTTCTCCCCGCCGCTTCCCCCTGCTAGGCGCGTTGCTGTTCTGCGACGGGCCGTCATGCATGTTTTGCTCGCTTGCCGTCTGGCCTGTTTCGCTACCCTCAAGTGGACGACTAATGCAAGGGCTCTTGGCGAGGGGAAAGCCGAACAACCCTTTCCGTGGAGGGTTTGGTCTTGCAGATGGTAAACCAACGCTTCTGACCTGTTTTGAACCCGCCAACGTGCTCTGTCCTTGCTGTATCGTCGTGTTGTTTATTCTCTGTCCGCGGCTCGATTACCGAAAAGGGCATGCAAGTCTCGTTTCGGGTAGATCGGTTCGTCAGGGCGGCGTGCTACGTGCGAAGGGGGGAACTGGTGAGCGGCATACAAAAAGTGACGTACGAACCATTTGTTCGGCTCGACGAGGCACACACGCACATATGGTATCGCCGCCGTGGCTCCGGCGTTGCCGCCTTTTACTCTTCCTGTGTTCGCTTTCGGTGCATCGGTCCATCTTTCCGTAATTATCGTTCGTTTTTTTTGGGTGTATTAGGACCGGGGGAAGTTGGCCACGCCGGAAGAGGTAGCCGAGGCCGGGTCGCCGGACTGTTCCATCTGCTACGACCGGATGAGCCGGCCGCTGCTGCTTCCTTGCAACCACCTCTTCTGCGGGGAGTGCGTGGCCGAGTGGTGAGTTGAGGGGCCTGCGAGCAGCTGCCCTGCTGCCGCACCCGTACCGATACATGTAGATGCCTCAGCAGTAGGGGGCACGACCCGATCATGTTTGCAGCTTTGACAAGAGTTGAGTTGTACACGGGCACTGGTTGCGGTGGTGGAGGTGTGTGTGTGCATGTGTTCGTCGTCGGCAGCAAGACAAGTGATGCTGCCGCTACAACTTCACCTCGTTCTCCGTGAGTAGTTTGTCTCAGGGCCTCTCGGTGGCTCTCTGTGTATGTACGTGATGGAAATATCTACTCAGCAATCCGCCGCAACCAAAGGGCGAAAAACCATGTTCGGACGGTGGGGCGAGGCACCGCTTGCGGAGGCCCCACCCAGCCCCTCTCCGAATGAGTCATATGCTCAGGCGATTTAGCTCAAGCTCTCCTTCCTGTCTGTTCTACGCGTGTCCTTCCGTCGTCTTCGTCCCAGAAGGTTACAGCAGTACCTCCCACCATTCATCTGCACGTCGATGTTTTCCTGTTGGTGTATTTAATGGTTCCACAGTTGGGAAGCTCAAAGCGTGTTTGGTGGTGCTATATAGGTAGCTGCGGACGGTTTTCATTATTTTTGTTTCCTCTCACGTCGGATCACGTTATCATGTTAAATCTCATTTCGTTGTGTGTGTTTCTTCCCCTCTGGCCTGTTATGCCGTTCACTCTCCCACCCTCCCTCTCTCTCCGCCCCGCTCTCTCCTTCTCTCCCTCCCTCTCGCCCTCCCTCCCTTTCTCTCTGTGTCTCGGTCTCTTCCCCCCCTCTCTCTGCTTTGCTTCGTTTGTCCTCTGCGCGCATGCCGTCGCCAGGCTGGAGCGAGAGCGCACGTGCCCCCTCTGCCGCGCCGAGGTGCCGAGTTCCAACCCGATTCCTAGATCCCTGCGTGATGGCAGAACAACCGTTGTACCGCAGATTCTATGACATTACACTGCACTACGCTACATTATCACGAGACTCGGGGGAAAATTGCCCTCGGGACGGGGGGGTGTCTCTGCTCGATAACTAGGGTTCCGATTGTATTCTGGATTTTTAATTTGTTGTTTCGAAGCGGCAGTAGCGGAAAGTTGCATAGGCAAAGCTGTGCTGCCTGTGGGACCACTCTCTTGCACTCGTAGAGTGGCAGGTGTTCAAAGGTTACTGATCTGTAAGTTTCTGCTGGTCTGATAGTTTAGACTCCCTTGTACGTAGAAAGAGGCACGGGTTGTCTGTTGTAGATGGACTCTTGAGATGGTCTGTTGGTTCATGGTAAGTTATGAATTTTTTGCATTGCCTTCTCCTGGTCGTGGTGTGCCTGTTGCTCTGTAGCTTGGGGCCAGTCATGGGGCGGTTGAATCTCTTCAGACCTGGTTTGTCAAGGCGGCTGTTGCCTCGCCCAATCTGTACTATTTCCGTCACGTGTGCCAGCTATGCATGATAGACCTGGTGTCTGCCTTGATCCTTGACCACCGCTCGAGGCTTGCGGCCCCGCTGAACTTTCTTGCTGTTTTGTTCATTCTGGGATGCCACCCTGGCCTGATTGTTCTATGACCTACCGGTGGTACACGGACGGGGAGAGTGTCCCAGAACATTGTATTTATGTCCCACACAAGGATGGAAGGCGCAGTACCGAGTCCCCACACGTACGATACGGCAACAACCGCCACAGGGCTACCTTCCTTTCCCCTCCTTGTGAACCATCCCTCGTGAAGTTGAGATTGGGTTCGTTGCTGTTAATTTGTTTTTTGTTTCTTGCTCGTTATCGAGTTAACGACGCATGCACTGACCACCGCCCTCAACATCGGTACGCCTTGTTCCGTGGCGATATGAGCAACATCGTAACAGTTTACTCCAACATTGTTACCTTGTTTTTGGTGGGGAATGCTGTACACGGTCAACATTTTGTGCTGCACGTTGTTCGTGCTACTCGACACGCGATTGCTATCGACCCAAGACACAGCTGGGAGATGTCGGGTCCTCGGGGAGTCAAGTTGTCCTGTAGCGTCTTCTACTCTCAAGAGTACTACTCTGACAGTTGTTCAATTCAATAGCACCAGGGGGTCCGCGACCCTGTCACGAAGATAACCTAATTTTTTTGTTGTTCAACTCTTCCTGATTTTTTCTTACAAGTCGATGAAAATCCTTTGGTCTTGCTCCCACGAAACATAATGAATCGGAGCACACACGCGGACATCTTCGTACCCCCAATGTACAAACCAATCGCTACATTACCAACACCAAAAAGCACAGGTTTATTCAAACCTGAGACCACCGCGAACAAAATGTAGTGTTAGTCACACTGCTCTCGTACACACCATACGTGCCTCTGGCCGTGATGCTGGGGGTTGACACTGAATCTATAAGACTACATTCAAACGAACCATCGACACAACTGGACCAACCAACGTATTTGTGGCTGACGAGTGCCCCAACCCCGCTGTGGAGTTGTGCATTATCTGGGCTGACCAAGGGGCAAAAAGTCGGGTGCTCGTTGTCTGATCAGCGTACTCAAAACAGTGCATACCCCTATCATATCATGCCCTCCAAAGGGTCAAAAAGCGAGCGGATAGCCGTCGAATCAAAACTCTTTTCGGCTCTCTCGCGCAAGCGCAGTATACCGCCCAGCGCTGCACTCTGTTGCGAACTCCAACATACTATCTAAATCTGCCCGAAAATTCGGGCATTGACCATTCATTGATCGCATGAATCAGCTACAGCTCTCCCCTCCTCCAAGTGGACTCGGTGAAATCCCGACCTTCGTCTAACCCCCCCAAAAAAAATTCCAAAGGAGAGGGAGGAGCGTGCACAACGCACCTCCTGCGTGTGAATGTCTAGTGCTACTGTCAGCGGGTAAATAAAACAGTCAGTCCAGGTTCATCTCCCCGACCACAAGTACTCGTTCTCCTATGAACTTCCCAACCGAATAAAACGGGCATTTTTCCTGCCCACCAAAGCTGTTTTTGTTTTTGGAGGACCGTGCGAATAACTACTCACTCACTTCCAACACTCATCTCAACGGTTTACCAAACGCACGTTGATGCCGCGGCCGCCCGCCAATCCTACCAGTGTCGCCCGCACTTATCGTACAAACTGTACTCCATGCGTGTTAGTCTCCTCGGGGCAAACGAGGTAAGATTGGACGCGGAAATGCAAGACATTAAAACACACGACCAAGCCTCCCCCCCCCTCTTTCCCAATCCTCCAGTGCTCAAAGCACTGCCTGTGTACGAAAACAGAAAACATGCAAACGGAGCACCACCACCTCAGGTTTTCTTCTGTTGTTTTATGTGCAGAGAGGGACTGCTCCTATAACTCAGGCCATCTCTTGATGACTGCGAATCACGCCCAAGAAGATAAAAAGGGAACCAAGAGCACCCAATGGCTGGACCACTGGGGGCCCTATGAAGCAAACTCTCGGCTTGAAAAGCTACTATCGTGTTTCACTTTCAACGCATGGCACGTGATCTACAGCGCCACAAACTTTTGCTGGCAGTATTCACACGGATTAAAAAATTGTCCGGTACGTCGGGTTGAGATCCGAACGAACTACGAACACATCACGATCGATAATCGCGAGAAGAACCTTCCTGCGGAAAAACTACTTGTGTTGGTCTTTCGCACGTGCCCGTCCACCGAACCCCCACAACCAACTGCGAAACTATCTACCCGGCGCTGGTACTTGGCTTATAAAATATACTAGTAGCAGGTGTAGAGCACCCCCGGCATGAGGCACCTTGTGAAGGTCCATGTATAGCGGTCTGACTGCCTGTACACCCGTACCCAACTTACACACCTCCCTCAAACATGCCATATGCCACTGCTGTGTAGTGTCCAACAACCTCCTCTCTCATGGCCTCCAGAAAGATCTGTAGTCCCGCCCCGCGTCTCGTTCGTTTTAGAGCCTTGCACGTGCCCTCGTCGCTAATCGGCACCATGTTCTCGCATTAACCGACGGGGACAGACGCAGCAAGCGCAGCAAGCGCAGCCTAGTCGAACACCAGGGTCTTGTCGAGCGCCATGTCCACGTCCGCGATTCCCTCCGGCATCGTCTTGGTCTTGCCGGCGAACTTTGTCTTTTTCCACTCCCTCTCCGTGTACACCTGTTCCGAATACACCAAACAATTCACAGAACGATGACACGTGGTTTTCTCACCGTTTCAGATAACAACACAAAACATGCTCCCCCTTTTGCGCGGCACCTCGAAGACTAGAAACTAGATGTTGCTGAATCTGTTATCCCGCCAAGATGGGCACCATTTCATTGGCCAGCTGCTTATAGCACGGTCGATGCTAAGTTACGAAACGCTTGTACGTACATCCGGACCCACTCATGCACACACACACACCATGGCCTTCAGAAGCATGTTGTGTGGTCAACCACACTGAGATTGACATGTTTTTCATTGGTCAGCCGGTTGGCGCGGTCGACGCCAACAATAAAATCCACACCAACGCACACACACCTGGGCCTTGGTGTAGTCCAGGCTGCCGGAGTTCTCCCAGGCCACCCTCAGCTTGTCCTTCCCGCGGCTGTGCTGCGACCGTAGCACCACCACCGTCATGGTCCCGCACTTGGTCTGGCAGAACCTTTCGTACACCCACGATTGCCGCATCAGCGCGAGCACGTCCGGCATGCTGATGCGGACGCAGAAGGGCACGGCCGCCCCCTCCGTGTAGCCTCCCATGTCCCTCACGTTGCAGTTGGTGGCGCCGCTGATGAGCTTCGAGATGCCCTTGAGGTGGCCGGGCGAGACGGCTCGGTAGGAGGCGTCGTCGTTGGGGGACACGTAGGAGTTGAACTCTCCGTTAGGCCCGACCCCGTTCAGCACCACCTGGGGCGAGCGTGGTTCATCGTGTGTGTTGTGAGGGAAGAGGGAGATTGTGGGGTGAGAGTCATGCAGGAAGCGGGCTAGAGGAAGACCAACTGCAGGGGAGGCGACAGGCATTGGATGGACCCTTCTCCTAGAACAGAGGGCCTCAACCACGTTCGTTCAGCGAGCACAACACTGCTGTTCGAGGGACACTCAAAAATAATGAAGTAGCAACATCTCGGGAGAAACAAAGCAACGCACCGTGAAATGCCCCGAGGATGATCGAGCTGTTGTTTCCGTGAGGTTGAGCTGCTCGAGGTGCGCCTTCTGCTCCGCTCGAACCTTGAGCTTCTTTTTGACCGCTCGGATGCTTCCTCGGACGATGACGTGTCCCACCAGAACAATCACCTAGCACAGTTGTTTTTTAGAAATAGAATGGGGGGTTTCATATTAACCTAGGGTTGGGTACTGAACCAGTACGTACTGCCAGTGCATATGCACTGGCTGCGTCAGCAGCCAGTACTCCAGTACATTCTTATATTCGCAGATTTCCTCTGTATTACGCCTCAAGAACCAGCGGAAACCCATATACTCAGACCTCCTCTGAGAGACACACCGCCACACGTTTTCTTCTTTCTTTCTTGTTCTCCATGCCCTCTCTACGATGATCTTGGACGATACCTCGAGCTCCTTGTTATTTTTGTTTTTTCCTTTGCTGGCTGCCTGCCACCTCTGCTGCCTCTTTGGTGCGGTGCCTACCCTACACTAATGCGCTGGTGCATACTGCACTGCTGTAGTACCTGGTACTGGTGTACGTTGTCCTTCGAT